ATTAATAATATTAATCTCAATTAATTCGTAAACAACGGTTTTACAAATCTGCTGATTTCGACTAGTGATTTATCGGGCTCAAAATCATCAACTCCGAATATGCATAACGCTCGGAAAAATAAATTATGACGACTCGTAATCTTTTAAATTCACGAAACTGACATGATATATATTTATTAGCGTACACTAATAAATACATCATCAAGTAATTATTTCTCTCTGGCAGTTTAATAAAATAATAGTACTATTCGACTCGATATTAAAATTAATACAATTAACAATTATGAGCACATAATCGAAATAAAATTATCGAGCTCAAATAAATAATTTCGAAATAAAATAAAATAAAATAATAAAAAAAATCTCTAATTAATTCCGGAACAAATGGGGCGCTACAAGACAAATCCTAAAGATCAAACTAATATTTTTGGTGAACAAACTAATATTTTAGGATTGGTTATATGAATAAGGCTACCTGTTTTTGGTGTTCTTTTCATTCATTTTCATTCAAACAATCCGATGACTTGTATAATGAAATCCGAATCTTAAGCCGAAATATTTAAAAAAAGAGTTTTTAAAAATTGAAAAGTCAAGGCAATCAGTTCAGATTAATTAAAGGTCAAAGAATATCCGCTCCTTGAAATAAAGACGTGTGCTATCATTAACCAAATATCCGGTTATTGATATAGAGTGGTTACCAGAAAATAGAACGCGATAAGGACGCTTCATGGAATGGGATAAGGTCATAACAGATCGCTATACATTTTAACGATAAAAGCTCAGATGGAATGATTTATGATAATTATGTCGTAATTAATGAATTAATTAGATATGTGAAAATGACATAATTAATGAGAAGTGTGAAAATGACATAATTAATGAGAAGTGTGAAAAGGACATAATTAATGAGAAGTGTGAAAAGGACAAAAACTTACCAGTTTTGGAAAATATTTAATGCAAATCCGACATTGACTATAATTTGACCTACTATTTTGGATAAATGTTAATTCTTATTATATAAGTATAGATTTTACATAAAAACACTCACTTATTATTTAGACAAATTTACTCTTTTTTATCCTCAAAATGGTTTTTTTATAAGTCTTTCTTAGAATTTAATAATTGATTGGTTTTTCTCTCTCCTGTATCTTCCTTTCTCTAGTTGCTTCCTTCTTCTTCTCCTTTTTCACCTTCCCTTTTTTATTTTTCTCTATTCCCAATTTTCATTCATTATTCTTACCCTTTTTCTTTCTTCCATTTTCATTCCTTCTTCTTTCTCTTTTTATGCTTCTTCTTCCTTTTTTCGATTGTATGAAACAGATTTTCCTAATTTGATTTTCTTATAATTTTTCATCAAATTCACATCCCAATCATGTTATTTAACCTTATAAACCTCATCTTCTCTTTCTCCTGGATCTAATTTTTCCTCCAAATCTATTTCCCAAAATTTTGCCCCAAATCCACATTCCAAATTTTAGGAGTGAATGAACGGCAAAAACAACATCTTCAATCGGTAAAGATGGTTCTTTTTAAAAACCGCAAAGCTTCTTTAATCGTGGCATCTCCGCGCCATGCAACTACTTGGTTTCTGAAATTCATGGACGCGAGTCGTTTATGGGCGGGGAGTGGCGGCCGCGGCGGCCGTCCTGGCTGCGTGCAAGGATTGTTGGACCTACCGAGCACGGGACTGAAGTGCGTTTCGCATGTTGGCTTGGTGCTTCTAATTCAAATTTACGCATGTTGGTTTGGTGCTTCTGATTCAAATTTACGCATGTTGGCTTTTAGTTTCTGTTTCTCAACTACAAAATCACGGGATTAGTCTGATTTTCTGATTTCATTGGTGAGATTTGTTTGTAGTGTTGACATAGATTATTTTAGTGAATAAGATAGTAATTTCTTGTGAATTTTATTCTCTTCCTGTTTTGGGTTTTTTGTGTGTGGAAAGACGATATGTTAAGATCAAATATGGTGTTGTTAAATATTTTGAATTGTTATGCATTAACAGTTGTTTTCATGTTGCTTAATTGTTATTGTTATGTTATTGTTTTGTTGTTTCATTGAAGTTTTTCACTTCTTTGTTTTATCTGATTTTTTACTATAATTTTGTCTGTGTGTATTATATTTTATTATTATTTTTGTTGTTAATTTTATTTTTAACAATTTTTCCGTTGCTTTTAGGCAATTTAATTAATTTTTATTATGTATATAACCAATTGATTCATTTTTTATTTTTGTGTTGTTGTTTTTTATCTGTAGGCATTAAATTTTGAAGAAGAAGAGAGAAAAACGAGAAGTGTGGAGGAAGAGAGAAGAAAGAAAGAGGAAGAGAGAGAAAGAGAATAGTTATTTATTTGAATTTTGAGTTGGTGTAACTTCCTATTGAGACATTGACCTTGTTTGGTAATTAGCAGTTAGCTGATAGTTGTTAGCTGATTGCATTAGCGGTTTTGACCAGCGGATTGTGTTAGCTGTTTTGACCAGATGATTGTGTTAGCGGTTTATAGAAGAGTGTTTGGTAAAATTAGCTATTTCTAGTTAGCTGTTAACATGTAAAATTATTTATAAGGACATCAACATAATTTATCATTCTTATTTATGTTGAACTTACAATTATTTAGGAAATAAAAATAATTAATATTTAAATATTTATTAAATTTATTTAAAATATAATAAAATATAAATAATAATAAAAAAATATAATTCTTAACTGAGTAAATAACCTCATATAAACAAACCTAATAACAAGTCATCATTATTTAAAATAACTAAATAAGTAATATCTAAGTAACTAAAATTTACATTAACAATTTCTAAAAAGTTCTCATTTACATCTAAGTAACTAAAATTATATATGTTTAAAATTTTATAAAATAGTTGGTAAAATTAGTTGTTAAGTATTATACTAGAATTAGTTGGAATGACATTTATAAATATTTTTCTTATGTTCATTAATTATAGTTTTGAAAAAATAAATATTATTTATATTTTTAAATATGAAAATTGTGATATATATTTTATTGCTATAGGTTTGGATAAAAAGTACGAGCAGTGCACAAGTTTTGATTAAAAATGGCTTTTTCTATAATTGTGAGATTGAAGAGAGTGTTGTCTAGTTTATATCCGTGTGGTATAAGTGAGGGCAATTAGGACTTGTATTTTTTTTTATCTTGAACCGCCAACATCAAACGCTAGCAAAAGCAGCGTTTCCCACATTGGCTGATTGGGCCAAAAAAGCTAATTGTAAAAGTTGTTTATCAAACATGTTTTTTAGCTAATTGTAAAAAGTCAAACAGCTAATAGATGAAAAAGCTCTTTTTAGGCAAAAAAAACCATTAAACAAAGGCAGCTATTTTTGGAATTCGTCATAATTTGCTGTTTTTGGAATTCAGTCAGTTTACAGTTGGGCTTGGGCTTGCGTTTAAAACCTGCAGCTCGTTTCGCCAAAGAACAAAAGAAAGAAAGAAAATGAATCTATATTGGGCTCGTTGCATCTTTACTTCACTTTTTCTAATACAACAATAATCGAGCATGTAAATAAAATCATAAATAAATAATACATAAAATTAAAAGTCTAAGCAACAATGATATGAAAGGACTTTTATATGAACCCACACACAGTAGTGTGGAAAATGAAATATTTCTTTACTTCACTTTTTTTAATACAACAAAAATCGAACATGTAAAATAAAATCATTAATAAATTATTCTTAAAATTCAAAGTCTAACCAACAATTATATGAAAGGACTTTCATTTGAACCCACACACAGTAGTGGGGAAAATGAAATATTTCTTTACTTCACTTTTTCTTAATACAACAAAAATCGAACATGTAAAATGATTATTCATAAAATTGAAAGTCTAAGTTGGTCGATATTCAAATTAATTTGTCATTGTTGAACATGAGAGATTAGCCCTCTAATCACTTTGATTATCCAATATCCAATATGTAACCAGAATTTAATATATGTACAAATAAGAGTCAAAATTTTATTTTTGTTCTACTTGACCTCTTTTCATAAAATATGTATTATATTGGTAGACATCACTCAATATATTAAATTTTCAAAATCATCTAAAAAGTTATATTTGGTAGACATCATTCGAAAAAATTAATTTGCCAAAATTATCAAGAAAGATATACTAATCGCGAATAGCAAGATAAAATTCGTTGTTTTTTTTTCGGACCAATTCGATAACTGTGCGATGTTTGTTTCAAGTGGGTGATCCACCGTTGGATTCTTCTCTTTGAGACTATCGTACTTGTAAAGTTTTAGACCAATTATCAGAGTTCATTTGCCCACTCAAATTTTGATCCATGAAAAATTGGATTGTTTCCAATCCGGGTTAACTCCACTGGGATCTACCATCGAGTTTAGGTGGATGACTCACCATAAGACCAATTGCAGCTCATGCTTAGTCAATTGCCCGTCCAAAAATATATGTACAAACTAAATAAATATTCGATCCATGATCAACTCACGTTACGCCTCGGCCTAGCCCATGATAAATTTAAACAATCGGGCATTATTCTGCCATTAATGATTAGTGTACTTTTCTTTTTTATGATTTTGATAAATTAATGTATCAAGTTTGATATCTGTCAACACTGTTATAATGGACCAAAGATAAAATTTGCCTCAAACAATACAACCGAAATTCTTCTTCCTAACTCAGTTACATACAATATGCCTCGCACATTCTTTGCAATCGTGTTGATCCATATGATGATGTTGATCACCGTCGGGATCTCTTCGGCCGACGATCATCAAGCCCTCCTCCATAATTAAGGAAATTCCTTTTAGTTACAAATAAGACATTAATTCCTTATAAACATCAAATTCGGGTTTATTTTCGATACAATCCCTTTAACTCTACTAACCATAAGATATATATTCTCGTTGACATGGTGACTGAATTGAACTCGATGGGTGTACTTTAATTGCAATCAAACTCGTGCACTACCTATCGCACGACTCTCCATCAATCTTTGAACCCACCATCACCCTCCCGCCTCGAACTGCGACCTCTCCATCTCCCGCGCATCCATCCTTGCCGCCAGCAGCATCAGCATCAGCATCAGCGCCACCTCATCAATTGTCGAGACCCGGCTCACGCCTACAAAGAGTGTCGATTTTATCACTCGCATGCATGTTAGCATCGAAAACCACCAACCCAACATGTACACGGGTGACAAAACCGAGTGGGCGTGAGTGGGGTCTCTGACGATTGATGAGGTGGCGCTGATGTTGTTCTTGCTGGCGGCCAGGAAGGAAGTGCGGGACATGGAAAGGTCACGGTCTAGGCGAGAGGCTTGTGCAGGTGAGGTTGAAAGAACGGGAGTTGTGCCACAGTAGTGTACGTGTTTGGTTGCAATTAACGGCCAAGATGATGGGGGAATGGCTTGATGATCAATGTGGATCAACAGGATTGCAAAAGATATTGCGTGATAATGTAGGAAATAATAAGGAAGAATTTGGGTTGTATTGTTTGTACAGGTTAAATACTGGTTATATATTGCATAGTCAAAGTGGTTGGAGGGCTAATTTCCCATGCTCACAAAACAATGACACAACTACTTGTTATCAAATAAGTTTAAAATATTTAATATATTGGACAATCAAAGTGGTTGGACGGCTAATTTCCCATGTTCAACCATGACAAAATCAATGACACAACTACTTTTTAACCGGCAATACTAATACAGCCCTATGATTAGAAATTGAGCCAACCCCTATCTCGTTCAATTCAGATTTATATGCAACGTGTTAAAAACCCAAACATGTGATTAACTCGAGCTGGAATCCGGGATATCGGTCCAACTACCAGGTCACCTAGTCAATTAGTCAATTATTGAACCGGGTAATCCATTTTATAAAATTCTAAATTATTTTATATAATTTTTATCTTATAACTATACCTAATAATAAAAAGAAATTATTTATATGTAAATTTTATACCCCAAAACCTTAATAATATTGTACTTTATCATAAATAATTACCACATATACACATATACTTAAATTTATATTTAAAAATAAAAAAGTAAAAGAAAAAAAAAATAATAGTTTAGTCAAATCGAGTTGACCCAACCGGGTCAATTCCCAGGTCGATCGGGTTTGATTGGGTTTCACCAGTGCATTTTATAAGAAGAACTATAAAATGCACTTCATGATTCGGATTGTAAAGTTTTGCATTTTTAAACGAGTCCTGGGACTACAAATCCAATCCAAACAAACCATATATGATTCGGATGGTAAAGTTTCCCATTTTTCGGACAAGTTGGGGTCCAAAAAAACCTGTCCAAACGAACCTTATATTCCTTGGGATGTAAGAGATTTTAGTGTATCTGTCCGAGTATTGATCATTGACTATAGAAGGACCTATGAATTGTGATTCACATAAGAGTCTATACATGACTTACAGATGTGCATATCTTCATTATTCTCCTTGCGACTCTCTAGAAGGTGAGTGCTTGAGTCCTTGTGAAGACGAATATGCCCCCACCACCAACTGAACGGCCCAAGAGCATGTTGTTATCCAGGTATGACAGGTAATATAATCCCCCCACAGACCGCCTGCAAAATCATCTTTGTTTACTAAAGTACATTAATTTTGAAGGTGGTTGAGAGTTGAAACCAACGAAGTATAATGTACCTCTGTGGACTTCTCACGGGAAATTGGGCTTTGAAAGATTTAATGAACTGCAAGATCTACAAATGAATACAAAAGGACATTACACAATCTCAACTTCTGGGCTAATGATTCGATTAGGTTCAAAATTTCGATGGTACTTGACTATGCCATTAACTTGAAGTGTAAAGAACTTGATTTCTGGCCATGAGTAATGCAACTGTAACCAAATATCTCAAGACTAATGAGTCAAGTTTAAATGTAGTAAATTATCAATAACTGAATGCAAAGGATGCACTCTCTTTCATGAGATATAGGTCGTGTCTTCAAAACCATTAAGTTAGATGATTAATGATAATTGAGTTTGATCACAAAAAATTCCTTAATTTCATTGAGGTATAGTTAAAAAAACTACACCGTGAGATTTGTAGTAATAACAAAAAAAGAAAAGCGAGAAGTTCGAAAATTCCCCTAAAAAATATTTGAGGTTCCATTCTTCCTTTACTCTTACTTAGGGCTTACATTATTTGAACATAAGTGTTCGATTGAGTGCCTTCTCCAATCTTGAACGAGATAAAAGTTAAGTTTAAAACTGAACCACAATGGGTGTCTCATAATTCTAAAACTTCTCTCGTATTTTTTTTTTTTTAAATAACTAGAAACTCAGGATGGTGGTTTTGAAGATTATCATTACTTTTGTGACCAAGTTTCCTCAATTATGAAGAAGAATCACCACCATAAATATGACATAAATAAATCCTCTATGAGGGGATGCTAAACTCAATCCAAACTTGGACCTACGATACCTGCAAATTTAAAAACGTCCTAGGTAGTATTGCTGGAGCCAAAAGAGCTTGTAATTCTTCACTGATATTTATGTTCTGAATAGCTATCTGTCAAATAACAGGATCATGTAAAGAATGAGTAAACATTTTTGTGACCTTTATCAAGTTATCAATCAACTGTGAACCCTGGTAATAAATAAATGAAAAAACAGTAAGCTGCTGCAAGCTAGTTATCTATCATGCAAAATATTCTGTTCAAAGATTAATTGAAACTAAAATTTAGTTTCAAAAAACTTATGCAAAAAGAATTCGTGATTATAGAGACATGAATAATAATAGTTATTTAGTTGTTCACCAAAACGAGAAATTCTTTGCCTTCCCATATTAGTTAGAGACAAGACAAACCTCTTCAAACTCGAGATAGATGTTACGTGCCGAGACAACAGAAAATTTGGCAGACACAAGCAGGGTTGCGCCTTCTTGCTCCTATTAAACAGATAAAAAAAGAACTATATCTGACACGTAAATAAGGCAGAAGTAAGATTGACATATAGCACCAGCTCTATTCACAAAATAATGGTAGTATATCTAAGATTTACTTTTTCATATCGTTGGATGAACTAAACAGAGCATGCAGAGACAACTTGTAACAACTACACACAATCTGAATTGATAAACTGTAACCTGTTTCCTGCACTTCTTAGGGAAAACCTTCTGCAGATCATTCTTGGAGATCGACTTTTTGCCGAAGACCTTGGCCAGGGAACTTTTACCACCAAATAGTTCAAATTTTTGTTTCAATTTATTTTTAGGTAGATGAACCTTCCATTTAAAGAAACCCAAAAGAGAGAAGGTCCATCCACATTGAATATAAATATTTGCATTCACTCATCCATATTTTCACATGATTTCTGCTTCACGCCTGCACCAGAATCTAAGCATTTTCCTTTTTTATCTGATGCCTCAGCTCTTAAAAGTATTCCTGTCTTGACAAAGGCAGTCGAAAAAATTGAATTTTTTCCCAACCTCTGAGAAAATTCATTTTGTACTAGGACGAATATACATACTAATACCACTATGTAATATTGTCGAAGCTTATTCAGACAGGTTGTGACATAAGCAATATATGCACACACATGCTGCAGCCTAAAAGAAATAATCAACTCAGTAATAAGTTAAGTTTTTGTTGACCTAATCTCAGATGTGAGTAGTGCAACTGAGAACAGAAACCTAACGCAACAAAAGATATACTCCTTACACCCTTCATATATCTTGAGTATTCAACCAGCTCATAAAATTATTCTTCAACAGACGATTTGAGCACTAATATAACTTGAGTTCGAGATCCTTGCTTGGTAGATTTGGTTCTAACATCAGTAGACAACTACAGCCAAGAAACTCTCCGCTCAGTCTACCTCCTGAAAATGGCTTGACTAATTGCCACACTTACATTATTCAATACAGAAAACCTTACACCACTCAAAGCACACCACAAAAAGAAAGAAAGAAAAGAAACAGGAAATACCTCAAGCAACCTTGGTATGCTCCATCTGACCACATTGCGGACAACACCTCGGTCGGATTGGCCAGCGCATTCAAATTTTTGAAAGATTTGATCAACCTGCAAAGATCCCCACAACAACACAAACATGATCGAACACGACACAGAGTATATGTAGGACATCAATATAATCATGAGAGCGAAAATCAGCATCAGGTGAATGTACCTCCAAGAAAGGAAGAGTAGTGGCAGACTGGAAGAGAATTAGGACATCTGGTGCCGATGTATACTGCAAGCGCCAAGTCCCGTCCAACACACCAAGATCAATAGGCTTCCCTGCATCCAAACACTCAACACTCACCTGCCAAAAGAAAATACACCATATTAAATTCCATGAACATAAGCATTAACCAACATCAACCGGCTCAGCAATCATATCTAACAGGCCCTAATTGAAGAAATGAAGTATTACACACACACACACACACGCACCAGGGCTTCCTCGATTGAAGAACGTTGGTGTGGAGTAGCAATTAGGCCGCGTTGAGTGTCGGTAACAGCTCTAAGCAGCTCGAATTTTCGATTCTCCAGCTCGATTTCTGACACCTGAACAGAAACTACCTAACCTAATCAGACACTTTGAAGCGAAGAACAAGGAATTGTGGTAGCAGTAGTGCCGTAATCTGAAATTCGAACAAAAAAATAAGGAAGGAAATTTAACCTTAGAAGCAACTGGACCGGCGAATGAGGCGGCCGAGCATATTGGGGGTCGTTTAGGAGGCAGACGAATTTGGTGTCTTGAGCGGGAGAATGAAAATGGCGGTGGAAAATATGCGGTGGCTGAGGAGAGTGATGATGCCGGATTCATTTCCACATGTTAATTTGGGGGAATCTTCATTTTTTCCCATAAATTTCAAGTGTTGCTCTCATTTGCTTATTTTGTCTTTCCACAATATATTAAATAATAGATTAATTGTAGATAAAATTTCATATATTTGTTTCAACTTTTAAATTTCATTTTTTACCAAGTGAAAAGGTGAAGAATTATGGTTGGAATTTAACTCAATTCAAATATCCTCAATATTATCAATAATTAAATAATAATATTCAATTATTCTTACACATCACATCTATCTTGTGGTAGGTCTCAGACTACTCAGTCTGCGCACTGTACATTTCGGTTTGAGAAATAGTATCTATCGTAATCATCCTCACACATGATATCAGCTTTAATTCAATATTCATCCACTCATATAATTTCAACTAACTATCATTTTATATCATCTATCTCCTACTTTTACATAAATCTATTTTAATATTTTATTTTAAATATTATTTTAATATAAATTCAAAATTCCAATAACAATTAATCATACCATCTTTTTTTCAAATTAACTATAATTACTACAAAAAATTCACTTTGATTGAAAATTTTTTGTATATGTTTGGGTATGTGAAAAGGTGAAGGATTATCCGTAAAGGGTTGAAACAAAATAAATAAAATAAAATTACACCAACACGTTCAAATACCACAACGATAAGAGAAATTATGTCAAACACTTACACAATAAAGCATTATGAAGTTCTTAAAATAAGAATATCAGCCGTCCCAGCCACAACTTTAATATTATTTTAAATCTTTTTCATTTGTAACATTTTGTCTCTCTCCATGTTTCATAACAACCCGAACACACGGGTATCCTATGCCTGATTTGTTAGACTAAGTGCTTTCCATTTGCAAAATTAAAATGTGTATGATTATGATTACTAAAAATGAAAAGTTCATAATAAGTTATAAATGAAGAAAATGATATAAGAATTTAATTTGTAATTTATCTTAAATAAATTGACAAGTTTTCTGTTAATTAGTTTAATAATTAGACAGTCACACTCTTTCAATACATGCACATACTTTTACATTTAAATAACTCTTTAAAATATTATAAATAAAAGTATTACATTTTATAATTTAATTATATATTCTTTTTAATAAACTAAAATTGATTAACGGTTAGACACCTAAAATGTGAATAATAAGTTGAAGTTTATTAATGTGAGAATTGTGTTATTTCTAACTTTCTTCAAAGGTTTATCTAAGTACTGGATTTAGGTTGAACACTGGGTACCATATCTTTAATTAATTACGAAACTTGCTCGAGAAAATAATCTTTGAATAGTGTGATCTGTAATTTTTACAATTGTGATGATATCGTCCTTTGGATATATTGTGGTTCTTGAATTTGTAAAATGCATGGTAACGGGACAATCTAACTGTTGTAGCATTACAATATTGTTCGTGACAATTACCACTTCTTCTAGTCATGCTACATTATTGAAGTTTACAAATATTAAAACGAAACAAAAAAGGGCAAAACAATGAATGATATAAAGACATAAAAGAGTTATATATGGAGANAAACTCCGACAAGCTGACGTCTTTTGCCGATAAAGCCGCGTTCTTGCTGCTCACAAGGCTCCACTGATCGGAAAACCCTCCCCACCCGCCGCCGCCGCTCCCGCACTTGGCCACCGTCCTCACGCTCTCAATCAGTTCCTCCGCCCTCCCGTCCTCCGCCAGTATCTCCACCAGCTGCTCCGGGCTTATCACCAGCTTCACCTTCCAGAACCCGCCGCCCCCCGCCACCGCCGTCGCCGCCGGCGGAATCCTCCCGGCCTCCGCTCCCCTGCCGTCGAACGACATCCTGTACGACGGCGCCCCCGACCCCCACGGCGGCGCGCTGGTGGACCTGACGTGGCCGCCGGCGCGTGATCGGGCGGCGGCGTCCGCCAGCGGGAGGAGGCGGTAGGACTCTCCGGCGAGGAGGAGGTCGGCGTGGGGGAGGGGTTTCCAGAAGAGGCCCTCGTCCCGGAATATGCCGTGGCCGGGGAACTCGTCGGTGATGGACTCGACGGTGACGGGGCCGCGGAACTCCATCACGCCGCCGTTCGACGTGGCCACCCGGACAACAGGCCGGCCGTCGCCGTCGCCAGCGCCGCCCAACAGGCAATTTCCCATCTCTTACTATTAATAATTAATACTTATTTGTATATTTATGATTTGAGGACCGCAACAGTAGGCGGTGAATGTGTTTTTGGAGGGTGGCTTAAATAAATATTAAAGGAAAAGGAAAAGGGAGGGAAAGGTGGGGCCCACGAATTTTTTGCTTTTCCCTTTTTGCCTTTCTGCATTGTGAAGACTGAAGAGGGAAAATAAAAAGGAATAAATTATATTTATACTCCATATCTATATATATATATATATATATATATATAAATAATTGCTAAGAAGCTTCATTAAATTTTATTCAGCCACAATTAATAATAAATGAGTTCATTTAATTAAAATAGGTATTCATTTAATAAAAATATATTCAGCATTTATTCAAATGACAATTACACAAGTAAAACTTTATTATTATTAATTTTTTATTCTGTAACAACTTTACAAGATTTTAAATGTTTTAAATATATAATGTTAAATTATTTTTTTACTAATATTTTTATTTTGTATTATAATTATACGATAACAAAAAAGAAAAAAAAATTGATTTATATGGAAGTTAAATATTTATATTATACATTTACATATAGTTAAATTTTTAAAATGAAATACACGCTTTATCTAATTTAAATTTTTAAATATCATATACTTACATATAATATGTAAAATTTTGTTTCCCTCTGTACATGTGTACAGGATCAAATATTAGTATAATATGACCACTAACTGACACTGTAGGCTGTGGATTATGAAAAGCTAAATATGATAATTAGCTGTGACATTGGATTCATTTTTATAATATTTTAATACTTGTTAATACATAGGCATTTGTATTTTTATTAAAAAAAGATCAAAACAAAACTTATATTAATAAACACTTAAATTATAGACTATAAAACTGTAGAAATAGTTGAATCAAACAATTAATCAAGGTGAATTGAGAAGGTCTACTCTAGGAAGAGCAAACCCAAGCCTAAATTGAAAAACAGACTTAATCGTACATTTTTTTGTGGTTTAGTTTGATTTTTTTAGTATAAAAATTTTTCGGTTGTGTTTCAATTCGGCTTTTTCGCGCATTACGGTGCAGTGCAGTTATAGTTTTGTATAAGTTCGATTTGGTGCGGTATTGCACCGAACCACATCAAATTGAATAAAATGTATAAAAATTGTAATAAAACTAATACCGAGCCGAACCGTGTATTTTAGTACAGTTAGGTTTGATTATTTCAATGTAAGAAAAAATGGTTTTGGTTCGATTTCTTTTTAAAATGCGTTGCAGTTCGGTAATTTTTTTAATAGGTTTGATTTTTCAGTTTTAGCGGTTTGGTGCGGTTTTTCACTGAACTGCATCGTTGCTCATCCCTAATCTACTCACAGATAGACTACTAGAGTCAATTATACATGATAAATAAAATTAAACAAAAACTAAAAAAAATTCCACACGAGATATTGAAACACCCAAATAATGAAGGCTAAACAACATAAAAAATAAAAAATCAAGATAAACAAAAACATAAACACTGGAAGAACAAAATACAATAAAGTAAAAATAAACACAACAATTTCTTTTTTGTTGAAAAAAAATAATTTTACCGGAAAATTCTTAACCAAAATGATTACATAGCATGTGAGAATAATTAGGGGTTATATTTCTTTAGGAAAAATAAGTAAGTAAACTTTAAAGTCGAGATAGAATTGCAAAAGGTTGAAAATTGGTGATTAATCAATTTATATATATTTTTAGGAAATAATTATGATGATTGCGTGAAATAAATTGGGCAGTCAAAGAAAGGAGCACAGCACTTTTGCTTTTGCTTTGAGGTTTCATAATTGGCCCACCTTTGATGTGTGTAGTTATTGTATAGAAAAGGAAAACCGACATCAAAGCTCATGCACCCTCTAATAATGCTTACTTCTTATAACTTGTTTCTCAAATATTTTATAACATGTGCATATAAATTTTGTACTTATTCTCTCTCAATTGAAATATATTTTTAAGACATAGCAATTAAGATAAATAAAAAAATCTATTCAGAAATATATATATATATATATATATCCATTTAAATTGAAATAATTAATGGTTCTGCTTGAGAATGTACTCAATTAAGATGAATAGTTTTTGATGTTTAAGCATAAAAGGCACATCAGTTACGAAATTGAAAACACAATAATTATAGTAAAATTAATATGAATATATTATATTTGAAATAATTTTTGCATTGACCACATTAATTAGTATATTTAGTGTAACTAATAAGCTATGTACAAAAAAATACATAAATTTATTAATATTTTATGATCTGCCTAGGCGGGACTACACATTAGTCTTCAGTCCAGTCTGCCGTCCACTCGAGCGAGTGACTAACGACTTTGGTAAATTTAAGTACACCTCATAGAAATATTTGGGCACTGTCTCGCAAAAGAATACAAAATTCGCTCTCTAAAAACCTTTTCCCCTAAATAAAAAAACTTTGTCGTCACTGCCTCTGTGTATAGTTCGATTCTACTTAGAAGTTCGATTCTTCCCATATAGGAGTGTATAGTTTGTCCGGTTTGTGAGTGTGTTAGTGTAAGTTTCTAGGCTACCATTGTGTATGTCTCTCTTAGATTTAGCTGGATGAATGTTTTGCTATTCCTAATTGTATTTAGGTATGTAATTACGTGTTTTTATTAATCTAATCAACCGTTTCGAAAAAAAAAGTACACCTCATAAAATTACTTTTCAATTTCATTTCTTAATATAGATACAAAAAATGACTGTCTATAATTTACTAATTTCACATTTTTTTTATTTAAAACATTGATTACCGCAAGCAGGGGCGGAGCCACCCATGGACTAGGGTGGGCTCCAGCCCCAGGTAAATAAAAATAAATAAATTAAATCACATTTAGTCTTTAGATCATTTTTGGTAAATAGTCCCATGTTTTTTTTGTATTAGTCCCTGCCTAACAACATTAAGTCTAAAAATATTTTGTGTTAGTCCAATATAAAAGCTCAAAATATTAAAATAAAATACCTTTCATTTTTTCTTGGCCCACTTACCCAATTTCTAATCAACTATTCATCCATTAGCTTTCTTCTTCTCCATTACGACGACTGGAACTTGAAAGACATAAAGAAGAAAAAGAAAAAAAGAAAAATCTCACCTCGCTGCCAATCTCAATCAAGCGGACCGAGCACAACTTCATTGTCCCGCCGGCTTCACTCCTCCTCGCCGCCAATCCCACCACCACGGCCTTCGCTTCAGTCTTTCTATCCTTCAATTCCACCGCCTCGGTCCCGATCTCAGCCCCCGGCTTCACTCCTCGCCGCATCGCCGCCGGTCCTCCACGGCACCGGCTCACCGCCGGACCCGGTCCACGGCCGCTTACCTCGCTGGTAAAAAGTCGAACATCCACTTGTGACCTAGATTGGACAGAGTCGAGAATTAGATGGATTTTTTTGTCTGGAAATCTTTGTTTTTTTGTCTGGCTAGCCTAAGTTATCAACAATATTTAATAATGCTTTTGATTAGTTGAGAACAATGTTGATTATCTTTTGGTGTTACTAGTGTTCATTAACCTAAATGCCCATTTCTACCATTTTAAGGAATGGTAAAAGTAGTGAAAATTATTTTAAGGTGTGAATTGGACTTTGTTGGTTACCATTATTTCCTTAATGGTAAAATTGTATAATCTGATGGGCAATGGTGTGATTTTGATGGGGTGAAAAAATGGTAGAATATGATTTTGCTTACTTTTGATGTTGATATGTTTCAATTTGAAAATTTATGTTAGAAGGTGATACCAATTAAGGAACATGTTTTTAGCATAATTATACTAATGTTTGTTGATCATGTACTCAGATCATTTTAAAGGTGTGGATGCTTGGCCTTATTGTGTACAAAAACCCACAATGCATTCTTAATTACTTTTTTTATTTTATTATTTTTTTTTAATTTGCTTACATCACCAAAATGCTTAATTATTTTTTGTTATCTTGATAGATTTAAATTATAATGGGGTGTCAAGGAACGAAGAAAAGAAAGACTATCAATTCGTTCTTTAAGCCAAAAGAGCATACATCGAAGCTGAGAGTTGGAGGACCTTGAACCGGCGCAAACATATGTACGGGCCGATTCATTGAACTGCCGGTTCTTGGTCGTCCGGCTCATTAAAAGAATATAAAAATAATTAAAAAATAATATATTTTTTTTTAAAAAAAGCCGAACCTCGGGTTCCGGTTCCAGTTCGGAACGAAATTGCCGATTCAAAATGTATAAACTATAAAGTATTGTACATGAATCGAACTGGTCAAAACTACGGGCCGGTTCAAGACCCATGGTCAACGGTTCGTTTTGTGTCGGTTCGACCCGAACCGACAGGCTGGGTCAGCTCATGACCATGTATACTCGATTCCAATAATATGCAGTCCCGAGTCAAAAAAAATGTCTGGCTACGCCCCTGACCGCAAGACGTGCTTATTTAACCAATGAAGTTTTTATTATACCTAGACATAGACGAATGCACTTTGACACATTACACAAAATAATGGAATGTGAAAAATGTGACAGAATAGCAATTTTGTACATCCTCAAACCCTAAGTCGAGGTTTTTTTTTAAATATATGAAGTGTTAATTTCGGTTTTGCTATGAAGCCAACAGTTGGCTCCATAGTGGAGTCAACCTTCTATTTACAACAAATAAACCTACCATATTAATAAAACTAGCGCATGACCCGTGCTATGCATGGGAAGCAATATTCAGTGATTACTGTTATATTAGATAATGAGATGAGATATATGTTAATAACATAACACATAT